AAATTGGCATATTACTAAATTATGACCCTATGGGATTTTGAGGGAAGATGAGGACTGGCCAAGAGTGGCGAGGACGTACTTGTCCAATTAAGCTGGCCATGACGAACTCCCTTAGATTATTGTTAAACAACTCCTATTCGAGGGATGACGTAACAAAAATCAAGTTCGGTCGAACAAGTATTTAATCACGACTATTTGAGGAATGACCTAACAAAAACCTTTGAGCTTGCAATAGGGCTGTTTCTAATCTCAACTATGCATACTAGCTAGTACAAGTCAGACACATTCTTTGAAAGTATAACTATAGCAGAATATGAGAAGTGGTGAAATAACGTTGAAATTGAGAAATTGTAACCGTTCTAACATGTTTCTACTTTACTGCCGAACCACCTTTTCATATGTTCATGGAATTTTAAACCATCATTGTGGTGATTCCCATCCCCTCACTCCTTCCTTCTTACATATTTCTTATATTCCCTAGTGGTGTCAATCTCACGTGCAAGTGGAGTAAATGCGAAATATTGATCCTCGAATGCTTTTTTTTTTTAGTTAAAAGGAAATGTATGAGTTCAACGTGATTTTTCCGAAATTGATATTGGCCTGGAAACTCGTGGTCATCAACATCTTGATACATATGGTTCAGTCAGTCCATTATATTTTTGTATTTCATAATTCATACATAATTTTTCCCTATTTGATTTCTTCCCATTAATAGGTCATACTCCCATTCATCAGGTGAATTATTGGGGTAGAGATTGCCTATTCTGAATTGTTTCTTCTTTTTTATTGGGCTGAATTAGAACAACCCATAGTTCATAATCGAAATAGGCCTTTTATTCCATTATGGATTTGCATAATTTTCTGAACTAGTCCAAAGCCCATTTCTTTCTTGATTCTTGGACTATTTTTGCACTAAAACCTCAAGTCCAGGACAACGGTGGCAAGAATGAAAGAATCAAGTCTATTTCATATAAGGCTTATAGATTGGGAACTTGTTAATGTCCTTGAAACTATTGGCGTCGATTTTCACAACGATATAATATCAGGTATAGCACCACCTCTCAAGCCTTTATTAACCAAAGAGGTTATATCACGGCGGTCATCATTAACTAATTACTCTACATTTTTATATGGTGTCGCTTGTTACTTGGTTCGAGATTCAACTTGTCCTTTTTGTTAGCGGGACATTGTGGAGCAGTGGAATGTTAAATTTGAGTTTTGACTGGTGAGCTTACTAGTTTTATAATTGAACACATGTTCTGCATATACTCTTATTTGTATTTTTTTTTTTTTTAAAGATCAGCATATATGCAAAATAGGATCAGTCAATGTTAAAAACTTAATTAATTAGCACTTAATTTTTATACTTGTCCCAAGTCAAGTTTCAAGCAACAATTTCTTTTGCTATTCATAGTTAATGACTGCATTAGTCATTTGATGTGATATCTTGTTATTTAAGGTGACGAGATTATAGAAAATTAACGCTTCAAGTAACAAGCTGTTACATAGTATGAATATTGTAGTAGCTAACTGTGAATAGTATTATTCTTCCTTTTACTTGCCCCAAATTTGAAATCCCGAATTTCCTCTCCGATCCTCGCCCCTTCATTGGCGCCCCGTCCTGTTTCCCCTCTGCAACCAGAGGTGAAGATAGAGGGGGTATTGCTGGGTTGTAGCCCAACATTGTCCTCCCAGCCCATATAAATATTTAAGAAGAATTGTAAACTTTTGGCTCAAATATTAATATCAATCCAACTCTAGTTTAAATTTCAACCCAACTCCAATACTTAATTATTCAAATTGTACCAAAGACACTATAATTATAAATTACTCTTTTCATGACATTCATGAAATGTGAATATTTTATTGTCAAATTAGATATTCTATTTAATGCATGTTTGACTAAAATTTACTTATAATTATTAAGTAAATTTTATTATAGATAATTTGTATTGATTAGATCTAAAAGCAAATTACTTATTTTAATAGATAGAGACACTACATATTTTTCTAAATTAAAAGTAATTAATTTTTTTTATTACTACGTATGTTTTTATTTATTACTAATTCATATTTATAAAAAAAAATTACTTGTTTTGACTATAAAATAGATATTATGATCAAAATAAAAAAATAAAAAAGGAAGAGTATTCATTAAAAAAATATTTGTGAAAACTTTCAATTGCTTGGAAAGACTGATTGTCAAAATTACTAGAAGAGTATTCATTGAGTAATTTTCTAAATTTTCGTTGGTGGATATGTATTTTTGCTTATATCTATTATAATTCGGTTAGTTTATATTTTTTAAGGTAAGTGTTGATTTTTTATTTGGTAAAAAAATACAAAGATTTAGTGGAATATCTTAATGTGAGATATCTAAACTT